CCCATGGGTGATGCAAGCCAGAAACGCAATATTGTTTTCCAGACAAGAAAACCCTACAATTATCTCATTATTGGCTCACAAAGGACACAAATAAGTCTCTGTGTTTTTCTTTCCTCCGAAAGTCTCTGTGTTTTTCTTTCCTCTGTGCAAACGGAGGGTTTTTAGGAGCTCCCAAACTCACTGGGGCGTGTAAAAATAAATAAAATTTGCAATTCTGGGGACTCCTTCAACTTCTCCAAAGTTACTCAAGTCGGGCTTTGAGTTGGGGGCATAAATAAGGTATAAATAATAAGATAAATGTATAAAAACATAGGAATAACGGTTGGAGGAATTGGGTTTGGCTAGTCTGGAGAAAAGAAGGACCAGGAGAGACATACTATAACAGTATTCCGGTATTTGAGGGGCTGCCACAAAGAAGGGGGGGGGGTCAACTTATTTTGCAAAGCCACCAGAAGGTAAGAGAAGAAAAAAGGGATGGAAACCGATCAAGGAGAGAAGAGAAGCCAGTTGAAATGAATTAAGGTGGATTTTCCTAACAGTGAGGACAATTCCCCTGTGGAACAGCCTGCCACCAGAAGTTGTGGGTGCTTCACCACTGGAGGTTTTTAAGAAGAGATAGGGCAGCCATTTTCTGGAGTGGTATAGGGTCTTCTGCTGTCATGGTTCGCCAACAGCAGGTGCGGACGGCTGAGGTCTCGGAGAGCGAGGACTCGGATGAGGGGCCTGCGTGGGATGCAGGGGTGGGGCCAGGACCCTCAGGGAGGGGAGTGCTGCCTTCGGAGATCGTGGAGGCTGACAGCAGTGAGGAAGAGGCCCCCGAGGAGCCTGTGCCAAGGGCCGCTTGTAGGAAAGAGCAGCTGCAACAGCACGGGCGACTCGGGAATAAGGCTGCAAGGTAATGGCCCCTCCCGTAAGAGATAAAAGCCAGCGGAGAAACCGGAGTTCTTTGCAGGAAGCAAAGAAGTTTTTGCACTCAAGCCTTGTCGACGTTCGGACTCCCTTAGTTTGTGTTTGGAGACTCTTTGTGTTTGAACTATTTCTTGGCAACTTTATCTCGTGTTCTTGGCAGCCTCGCACCACCTTGGCAAGGCTCCTTCTTATCACAGACAATTAGTCTGAAGCAACCTTTTAACCGGGAAGGAACAGAATTTGTAAAGAATCATTAAAAGGTTTTGCTGTTCCCTCTGTTTGGTGTTTGTTTCCTTGGAACAAGGTTTGGGTCAGAACACCTGCTTGAGTAGGGGGGCTGGACTAGAAGACCTCCGAGGTCCCCTCTAGCTCTACTCTGATTAAGAAAGCAAATACGGGCTAAATAAAAACATCCCTTTTCCCCTTTGAAATCCCGCAGAATTTTCTTGCCAATAATGTTGTGAAATATATATTTTTTCCTGGAAATGTCAAAACCCTGCAGAGAAAAAATCTTTCATGGCACCCTTAGTTTTTTCTTTTCTTTCCTCCTTCCCTTAAATCCTCTGTGAGTAAAGAAATTTAGAGATTGGAAGGAAAAAAGCGACTTATGACCCTTTTTCACACTTTGTCTCATCCCCGTGGTCACGTGATTAAATTCGGAAGCTTGGTAACTGACTCATATTTATGACGGTTACGCGATCCCCTTTTGCGACCAGCAAAGTCAACGGGGAAGCCTGGGTTCCCTTAACGACCGGGTTACTAACTGAACCACTGCAGTGACTCGCTTAATAACCATAAGCAAAGAATGGGCGTAGAATTGGTCGAAACCCCCTTAAGAAACGTCTCACTTAACAATAGAAATTTGGGGCTCGTTTGTTGGTCGTAAACTGAGGGCTACCTATATTATAATCTGGCCAAAAAGAAAAAGGGAGGGAATTTTGAGTTTGCTTTTTGAAGGTTTTTGAAGAGGGGGATCGAACCTAGAATTAGCAAAGCAAATAACTCCCAATTCAGCCGCCGCCACCCTTCCCCGTGGAGTTGGCCGCTGAGATTGGCCTCGATAAAAGAAAAGCACTTTTTGTCTCTCTTTTTTTTAAAAAAAATATCTTAATAGAAACTCAGTGACTTTGGAGTGGGGAGGGGCTGGTTAAATATTGACTCTTGGTTTAGTGGAGTTTTGTGGAGCAAATCCTTCCCAGCTTCAGCCAGAGGAAAACAAAAAAAGCATTCTGGATAAAAGCAGTAAGAAAAGACGGGAAAGAGTTTATTGCTAATTGCATTAGAATTAGGGGGGGCGGAAAAATCAGCCTTCCGAACAAAATTTTAGGGTTAAAATTTTTTTTACTTACTGGTTCTGTGGCCGTCGCTTGGTAGGCGTGGCAGGGGAAGTTTACTGCAAAATCCCTATTCTATTTATTTATTTATTCATTTATTCTATTTATTTATTCTATTTTTTTTTTTTATTTATTTATTTATTTGGTTTGTCAATTGCTTACAAGATAATAGGTATAAGTAAAAACATAGTTATGAATACATGGATACATATAAGAAAATAAAAAATAAAAGAAACAATAGGACAGGGACGGTAGGCACGTTGGTGCGCTTATGCACGCCCCCTGCAGTCCTCTTAGGAAAGGGGTGAGGTCAATAGTAGACAGTCTGAGGTTAAAGTTTTTGGGGTTTGGGGAAGAAACCACATTCTCTCCCTGCTCCTGGGAGGAAGGATTTCCTGCAAAATCCCCCTTCCTTCCCCTCCCCACTAACCTGCTTTCCAGCTCCGTTCTCCTGTGCAGGGCAACCAAAGGAGACCCAGCCGATCAGCTGGGACTCAACGGGAGGTGGAGAAGAGATGGGGGTTGGCGGGGCCAGTCAGAGGCGGGATCGGCCGGTTCTTCAGAACTACGCACAATTTCCGCTACCGGTTTTGGAGAACCAGTCTGAACCGGTTGAATATCACCTTTGCTTCCGGATAGATTTGCTAGAACGATCTGGCCATCCGTCTTGGCCAGGTTGAACAGCGAGGACGAAATCAGATCTCGGGTTTAGAAGGGGAGGTTGGCCCAGTTGAGTTCGTGAAGACCTTTAATGCAGTTCAGCTAATTAAAAAGCAAGAGGCTAGTCCTCTGTGAGTCTAGCAAATCCTCTTCAAGTGCAGTGTTTTCCAAATGTCGAAGGATGCTTGCTGGAGAGTTGTGAGAGTTAAAAAAAAAAAAAAGGAACCTGTGGCATACAGAGCCACTTCCGTAGGCATGCGAGAGGTTGTACATGTGCAACACAACACTCTGTGCATGTGCACACAACCCCCCCCCCATGCAGCATGCCTTTGTGTAGGCGTGCGCTTCTCCCATGCAGGCGTCTTCCCCCCATGCATGCGCAGGAAATACCTGACAATCGGCTAGTTGGGGCTAGGACAGTGGTGGCTAACTTTTTTGGGCTCCTGTGCCAAAAATTCTGTGCGCGCTTGCACACTTGTGCTCGTGTTCCAGCACCCAGAAGGCAATGCACACCCCCTCATGCCCCCTATGCACGTATGTGTAATTCCCACCCACCCACCCCCTCCACCTTCTTTCCTGCACTGTGCCTCACATCTGAATTTTTGGCCAGTTTGAGGCCTTTTTCGGCCTCCTGGAGGCTTGAGGAAGGCTTCTGCAGGATTTACAGGCCGAAAACTAGGCCCATTTCAACCCCTCCGGTATTTCCAGAAAAACAGGAAGTGACAAAACGGGCCTAGTTTTCGGCCTGCAAAGCCTGCTGAAGCCTTCCTCAAGCCAATGGGAGGCCGAAAAAGACCTGAAACCAGCCGAAAATCAGCTGTGAGGTGCATGCATGCACAGTGAGGTAAATTTGGCTGCAGCTCATGTGCCGGCACAAATGGCTCTGCGTGCCACCCGTGCCACACATGCCATAGGTTCGCCATCATGGCTATATACCGAAAAGAATTTACCCTTTCCTGCCCTCTTGTGGCTGGCTGGATATTTGCCACCCGGATTTAGTTTTAGTTTTTTGTTTTTTAATAAAATGAGCTTGAAGGAAAGGATTATTTTATTTTTGCTGTGACCCAATTCCTGGGCTTTTCACAGCTTAAACGAGAGGCAGCACACAGAATGTTTTTTTCTTTTCCTGATCTCTGCATCTCCGTCGGCTGCTCCGCCGGCTGCTTCCAGGCAGTTCTCTCACTGTTTAGAAAGTGGGAAAAGTAACACCTCTCCCAATCACCAGGTGTTAACCACGGCCAGTTTTTAAAAGCATCTGTAAAGTTTGTTGGAAGGGCTCTCTCGCTTGCAATGGATGGTTGGTGGGTGCCTGTACGTTAGAAGCCAGAATCCAAGCAAGTTTCTTCAGCTACCTGTGCAGCGCTCGTTCACTTTTTCTCCTTGTTTTGGAACAAGGCTGGGCCTTCTTTCTTCTGTTTTGCACCTGATGATGTTACCTACTTTTATTAAATGAACCATAAATTCTGCCAGAGAGCAACAAGGACCCCGCTCCTCCTCCTCTTCCTCCCTGCAAACCCCATTCCCTTCTTTCTAGCACTGATGATGTTACCCAGCTGGGTCTTGAAACGTCTGCAAAAAAACCATCAAGCTCAGAGACCACAAAGAAACTCATAGTCCTCCTCTTCTTTTCCTCCTCCTCCTCCTCCTCCTCCTCCTCCTCCTCCTCCTCCTCCTCCCACTTCTAGTACTGATGACATTACCTAATTGGATCATGAAATGTCTGCCAAATAACACCAAGCTCAGAGAACAACAAGGACCCCACAGTCTCCCCTCCTCCTCCTCCTCCTCCTCTCCACAAACCCCACTCCCTTGTATCACTGAGGATATTACCTAGTTGGGTAATGAGACGTCCGCAAGAAAACAAGCAGGCCCCTCCCCACACATGCAATTCAACCCGGAGCTCCAAATATTGCATCCTTACTCCTGGTCCAGCTCTGAGAGCCCCTGTCTTCTCTCCCAGGCGGTTGTGCTGCGCAGCCTCCGTGTTTCTGTAATGTTCGCTCCTGCCTAGAAAGAAAGAAAGAAGCAAATAGCATTTTTTGTCGTCTTCTCAATGCTTTTTTTCTCTTTTGAGGGGGCTGTTTTCTTCTCTTCCAGAGCCACCGACGCCCACCTTTTCCGATGGCCAAGTTAGAGACCCTCTCGGTCCTGAGTGATGCCAGCTACCACAGCCAGGAGACCTTCCACGCCTTCCACCCGAGGACCTCCGAGTGCTCCTCGCAGAGCAGCGTGGGCAGCGGCCTCGCTCACGAAAAGGACTTTGCCGGGAAGAGCCTGTTGGTCGCCAGGCCTCAGAACCCCAGCCAGCAGCTGGACGGGACGCGGAGTAGCTACTCCCTCGCCCCGCGCCACGCCGGGGAGGAGAAGGCGGCCTCCAGTTCCGTCTACATCAATGGGGACGCGCACAAGAGCGAGGTCGGTGGGAGTGTGGCGGCCAACAACGAGAAGAACCTGCCTCCACCGCTACCCCAGTACAGAGAAGCCAATAAGCCACCAAAGATATTGCCAGTCTCTGGGAAACTGGACCAGGTGGGTGTCCCGTCTTCAGATGAGAAGCAGAAGAGTTGGAAGGGGCCTTAGAGGTCTTCTAGTCCAACCCCCCAAGATGGGGGTGGGTTCTTTGCCAGTCAACAGAGAACCTAATGGGTGGGGGACTGTTGCCCGTTTAGGCTTGTGGGCTTCAAATCCCAGAATTCTGGGAGTCATAAAAGGGCCATAGTTCCCCATGCTGGCTGAGGAATTCTGGGTGTTGAAGTCCAGAAACCATAAAAGGGCCATAGTTCCCCATGCTGGCTGAGGAATTCTGGGAG